TTTAAGCAAGAAAACAAAAGTTTTTAACTATTTCCTTATTTGTCAAACCACAGCAGCTATTATATATCAATTATAAGAATATTAATTAGACTTTCAGAGTATAAAGTAAGATGTTATATCATGTTACGTTTCTTGCCATAAAAATGTAAAGAAAAAAAACCTTTTAGACTGAGAAATAATAGTTTACTTGAAAGTGATTTTTTTAAACTTCTGTATGTTTCTGTAAGAAAATAAAAACGTAGGGCTCAAAATTTGCCCTTTTCTGTTTAATTCGATATGGGATTTGTTGCTGCCTGGACCCGCCCATGAACAATTTTTCTTAACTTAAAATGTCTCTATTTGTAATTTTTTTTATCTTTCTTTTACAAAAAACGATGGTCATTTTAAATCAAGTTACATAATTTAATCATAAAAAGATTTATTTGCTGTGGTTTAACACCAATGAAAAAAATAATGTTAAAAAACACATTTTAAATTGATTTAACTTAAATCCTTCTCAGTTTGAAAAGTTAAAAAAATTTCTATAAAAATTTTATTTTCTTATAATAATGATTTCAAATAAACTCAGCGATTTAAAATTTTTATTAAAATTTTTGTAAATTTTAAAGTTTTTTCAGTTAAAAGACGTTTTTGACTTTAATAGAAGGTGATCATAACAAATCTTTTTATGTAAGAAACGAAGAAAAATTACAAATCTAGCCATTTTTAAACTAAGAAAAGTTGACCTTGCGCGGATTTGGGCGACATCTTGTATCATTTTAAAAGAAAAAAAGTAGAGTTTTAGCCCCACGTATATAAATTCTTAAATAAACATACAGAAATCACAATTGAATAAGGTATTATTTCTTAGTCAAAAAAGTTTTCTTTCACTACATTTTTACAACAAAAAAGGTACTTTTATAAAATATTTTGCACAATGTGAAAAGTTGATTGATATATAATAGCTGGAAGTTCTCAGATGTGGAGATATATGATGAAAGTTTAAAATTATTTCTCTTTCGCTGAATAATTTTTCTTCAAAAAATAACAACTTTGAACTGCTGCCATTTGGTCCAAAAAAAAAAAAACCCTTTAAGAATATGTATTTATGATCCATTTGATCCATCCAACTATTGATATCAGGTATTTTCAAATCTGGAATTGATTTTCTTCATACTTTTGCGCTCTCTTGTTTAGCTCGATTTGTTATTTGATGGTATTTGCCGTCGCATATGAGACCTGCTTTCCAGAAAAATCTTATTTTTATCTTTAGGGTATATTTCTTCTTGTTTGAATAGAGTTTTAATATGATAAGATCAATAGATAATACAATCTTATATTGTCGTGAAGAAAATGAAAGTTTATCTTTAAAATATTTAAAGATTAAGTTGTGCAGCACCTTTAAAAAAAAAATGTGCATCGCTTGTTTGGAATTATTATGGAGAATTAATAAAAGAAGATGGTCAAAATTTAGATGAAACTAATAACTATTGCAAACCATGTTTGGAAACTGAAAAAGTCAAATCGGATAATAACAAGCCTTCGCGCTTGTCTAAATTTCATTCAGTAAAACGTTCAACTTCTAGAGGAAACATGAAAAATCATATGTTTTTAGTGCATAAAATTGTCACCAATCAAATCTCAACTGAAGAAAAAAATAACAGTATATTTTAAAATCGGAGCAGCGTAAGTGAGTCTGCGTCAAAAGTAAAGTTTGATATTACTCGTGACATTGCACTTATTTTCAGCGACAACAAATCGGTTTTGTACCAATTTGTTGTCGCTGAATCTTTTAGAAAGAACCGGTTTTGTAAAATGTTTTGAAAAAAACTTTGGTATAGTCACTCCATCATTGTCACATTCATCATTGTCATGCGAAACTTTAACTCATATGTTTAAAGCAGTCAAGCTGGTTCCTTACTTTTTGATGGATGGATAGATAAATACAAAAGACTATCATTTATTGGTGTAAAGTGTTCAGTAATAACAAGTGAATGGGATAGAAAAATTTTCATTTTAGCTTTTGCACCACTGGAAAATCACACTGCAGAAAACACTGCAGATTTTATGAAGGATGTTATTAAAGATATGTTTAGCAAACAGTATCAGGAGTTACGTTTGTAAAATGTTCATGATGGTGGTGCAAACATGATGAAAACTTCTAGACTACTGGGTTGTGAAGAACCTCAACATTGCTTTGCTAATGTGCTGAACTTAATATTGTTTGAGTCACAATTACTAAGGGAACTTGTTAAGTTCCTGAAACCTTTTCAAAATTTGATAGAAGTCGTGAGTGAGGGGGGGGGGCACTCTCTCTATTCTGCCATTAGTGAAACATAAAATTGCATCGCTTCTCAAGGTTTATATTGATGATTTACATGTAATAAAAAAACTAAAAATGACTTGAAGCTCAAAATTAGAACAGCGCCTAAAATTATTACAAACAACCAAATTTGAAACAGTCCAGATGTGTCAATGTCTGTTAGATCTTAGCAGCTAAGTCTATCTTTCCAAATAATGAAGCAAATAGCATACTATTAGAGACTTTATCAAGTTTTACAGAAAGTTTAAATTCACATACAGCAGTTAACAATGTCAGTATGGTATAAATAAAAATTTTAAATGTTAAAAAAACTAATTTAGTAAGTTGTATAGCATATTTAATTATAATACTATAAATAAGTTTCTTTATTATAGAGCTAGTTACATACAGTTTTAAAATTTTAATGTTGAAATGTTTGTATTGAATAATTTGCGTGGTTAATTTGCGTTAATTATGTTGTAGAAAATTAGCCTACAGCAAAGAAACTACTGCTTCAAGAAATTAAAGTTGCGCTTCCAAATCACGATCAAAATAGAAATCAAAGTTTAGCCAGGGAAGTCAATAATTATATTGCCTGCCAACAGAAAAAAAAGAAAAAGACTCTGTAGAGTTTTGGAAAAATAATCACACAAAGTTTCCCCATCTGGCATGCTGACCTGAATATTTATACATTCCATGAAGTAAGACCTTCCTAATATGAACATGATTATACATGATAACATTGGTTTATTATAAATTAATTAAGGTTGTCATATAAATTTAATAATAGTAATAATTGCAAATAATACATGGTATTTGCTATATTTAGCCAGCTTCATTTTTCATTAACCAGCTGCCACTAGGTTAACAACCGGCAAGCTGGCTACCCACTTGTATTAGCTACCCAGCCTTGTGTCGTATTTACTGACGGCTGAAAAGTCTACATACATGGTCAAAATAACAAACACTGAAACTCAAAATTATGTCTTTAAACCAAAACTTTCTATCCGCCAACCAATCTAATCTAAAATGTAAAGTGGTCTCAAAAAAGTCCACTTTAAATCAAAGTCCATATTAAACTATGCTTTTACCATCGAAAAGGCCACTCAAAGTCAATCTATCATTAAATGGTTTGCAGTAGGAGGAAGACACAAACTGTTTTATCACCAAGCATCGTATATATTGTCATCGTTTTTAGTTTATAAACGGAAATAAAATGTAACTAAAATCCAAAAAATTTTTAACACATGTTAAGTTATAATGACGCGTGTTGAAATATAAATCAATTAAATAAAGATTATATACATATAAATTATTTTTATAAAAATAGTTATACATTTTATATCAAAGTCATTTTGTATTAAGAGATTCCAAGATTTTTTCCTTAACACTTCCAAAATGATCCTTTGAACAGTAATCTTATTACTAATAATTATTATATATATATATATTTTTTTTATTTGTTCTTTATTACAATATTTGATACAATATTTACAAATATATAATAAGAAAAATTTACATGCAAAGAAATCGTTACAAAAAAAATAAAGAATTAAGATAAAGAACGCGGATACTCAAAGAAGACATACAGGTCTTGTCACCGAGAACCGCTGTTAAAGAACTTTGAACTTAATTTAGATTTTAGAAAAAACGAAAATAAGTAAACACAAGTTTGAAACTTTTTTTAGTTATGGTCTTTATGGTTGGAATTAAAATACTAATTCTTCTGAACCGCATGATTCAAGCGAAAACAATAATATCATAGTATTCTTGATAAACAAATGCGTCTCGCATCTGACTCGCATCTATACGATCACTGATTCTTGTTACTCAAATCTATCTTACAGTTACACTAATCTTAATTGTTAATTAATTAATAAATAAACGAAAATAATAAGAATATTATTGCACTAGGTACATCCAAATGCACTTCAAGATTGCCCAAAAGATTGTGAAGAAGAATTTAGATAGCCAAATTATGGTGTCATTGTTTGAGAAGCCAAAATGATCAAATGTTGGTGCATTTACGCTAACGCTTCCGCCGACAAAAATGCTAAACCGCTGTCAAAGGATGGTTAACTTCCAAAAGTATTATACATACAATGTTTGCAGATCCATGCATCCAGTCACATGCATCCATTTTTTTTTTTGGATTTTTTTTGGATTTTTTTTTGTTTTTCTTTTTTTTTGTTTTTTAATAATAATATATATACATTTTTTTTATTACAAAATTAAATTCAATATTAAAAGTATATACCGTTCGTAATACAAATTATTTACAAATATTACGAAATAAAATAAATATTAAAGTAAACAAGTAAATAATAAATGACTACTGTACAAATAATGTCAGTGCAACTTTTAACAAAATTCAAATAATGTTTAACTACAGTTTCTCACATAAACTTTAAATCAATATTGTATAAAAGTAAATTATAAATGAGTGATGACAAAACTGGGTAAAATTAAAAGTATATAAATATATTTTCAATTGAGAATATTACTTTTTAAAGTTTTCTTTTAAACATATAATAATTCCATTCATGAGAAAAATCAAAATTTTTTAAAATTATTTGGTTCCATAAAAAAGCTCCACGAAAAGAAATGCAAAATTTACCAAAGTTTGTTTGAAATTTTGGTTGTTTAATAAAATTATCATTTCTTAAAGAATATTTGTTTTTTGTTTTTTAAAGAATATAAATCAAAAAAAGAAGCCGGAGAAGAGTTGGTTTTACATTTAAACATAAAACAAAGAACATTATAAACATTTACTTGATATATACGCTTTTTGCAACTTTGTTGCATAAATGTCCGATGCGATTCTTCCATGATAGATTTTCATCTACAATGATACCTAGAAAATTTGTGAAAACTACTTTTTTTATTTGAATATTATCAATATGAAAATGAGGTATATTACTTGGAAGTAAATGTTTTTTAAATCGTGGATGAAAGAAAATCCATTTAGTTTTATCAATGTTGAGTGAAAGTTTATTTAACTTAAACCAGTCAGATATTTTTATTAGTTCAATGTTCATATCATAAAATTGTTAATTGATGTTATTATTTGATAGGAATAGGTTTGTATCATCAGCAAACATTATAGTTGTTAATTTTGAGACTTCATGGAGATCGTTAACATAAATTAGAAATAATAAGGCCCCTAGTATATATCCTAAATATAACCTGTGGAACTCCACAGGTTATATTTAGATAACCAATATTTAGATAATCTTGTAAAGAAGATCCGTCGACATAGACAAATTGTTTGCGATGTTTTAAATAGCTTTTTAGTAGTTTTAAAGCATTACCGGTGATACCATAATGTTCAAGTTTTTTAAACAGTATTTCATGGTCAATTGTGTCGAAAGCCTTAGATAAGTCTATAAAGACACCTAAAGTAAACTCTGACTTTTCGAAAGAATCAGTTATACTGCGAGTGAATGAATTATTGCATGTTCAGTCGAGTTATATCTTTTAAAACCGTATTGGTTTATGTAAAGTATATTATTAACAGCAAGATGATTAGATATTTTGTTAAACAAAATTCTTTCTAAAATTTTTGAAAAAACAGAGAGGATAGATATTGGTCGATAAATACTGACATTAGACGGTTCACCTCCTTTAAATACAGGCGTTGTTTTGGCTATTTTTAATTGATCGGGAAAAATTCCTTGATTAATAGAGCATTTAAAAACTTTAAAAAGAATATGTTTTATGGTATCGTATGAATCTATGACTATATTACAATTTATATCATCAGGACCTACTGCTTTATTAGTTTTAAGCATTTTAAAAGCACTTTCAAATTCTGAAGAAGATATTTCAAAATTATTTAAACTAGAGATTAATGGAAACACGTAATCATTTATTGGATTAATCATATTTGGAATATTTTTAGCTAAACTTGGGACAACAGAAACGAAATATTTAATTCTCTTGCAATTTGTTTGGGTTCATATAAAAATACACCATCAACTTTTATAGTATTAGGTATAGAGCATAATTTTAATTTACTATTTCCAGTAAAATCAACAAAATCAATAAAATCAATTAAACGCAAAAGAAAGTTGTAATATATATATATATATATATATATATATATATATATATATATATATATATATATATATATATATATATATATATATATATATATATATATATATATATATATATATATATATATATATGTATACATATATATATGTATATATATATATATATATATATATATATATATATATATATATATATATATATATATATATATATATATATATATATATATATATATATATATACCTCGACTTAATTCTTGCCTCTCCACTGAAGCAAGATTAAGCGAGAGGCAAGTATTAAGTCGAGGGTTGGGATTTATCAAGAACAACCGATTTGTTCCGAAAAGAATATTCACGGATGCAATCTCAAAATTAAAAAAAAATATGCTACTTAGAATTCATTTTAGAGACAATTTAGGACCACCCCCAACGGATACCAATGAAAAGGAAATTCATGACGGTTTGGAACCCTCCTGCGTCCAATAACACAAATTTAAATCTTTTTTTTGAAAGTATTGAAAGGGAAACAAACATGGTGCTGAATGAGAAGAAAATGATAACACACACCAATCTAACGCAAGGTATGAAAAAAGCAATCACATCACTAAAAACTAATGACAATATTATTATCAAGCAAGCCGATAAAGGTGTTTGCATCCTAAACAAAGATATAAATTTCCTATAAAGAAAAAATTAACACTATGCTAGCAGATGACACCACTTATAAACTTCTACAATACAACTCCAACGTAGGAATGGCACGGAACGTTATAATGGTGATTGACTACATGTTATTCAAAGGAGTGATTGATGAGAAGACAGCAGATTACATACGTCTAAATGATCCTCGTCGCACTCCTCTGTTCTAAGGACTCCCCAAAAAACACAAACCTGAAACTCCCCTCCGATCTATTGTATCTGCTTGTGATGGCCCCACAGATTACCTTTCACACTTTGTGACAAAGTTCATACAACCACTAGCTGAAACTGTTCCTTCATATTTCAGAGACTCCACACAATTTCTCCACATGCTCCAAAATCAGCCACTACCGCCTCACAAATACATCTTCGTCACCGCCAACGTTACCTACCTATACACTAACATACCCCATGAAGATGGTATGAAAGCTGCCAAACAACTTTTGAATAACACACCACATTACCTTAGACCGCCTAATTCACCACCTTTAGCATACATACTGATCAAGAATGACATCATTATCACAAACACAACGTTCCAATTTCACGACCACAACAATTTACAAATGACAGGAACCTTAATGTGTACACGCATGGCACCACCATGGGCAAACATATTCATGGCGACACTGGACAAAGCAATTACTAAACAATTCAAATGCAACATTACCTACAAAAGATTCATAGATTTTCTACATATTCACAAGCTCTATAGAAGATCTCCATCACGTTACAACATTCATGAACAACCTACACCCCACCATTAAGTTCACATTTAACCACTCAGACACCTCTATTGATTTTTTAAACTCTTTACAAAAACCATCTAGGAATAATACAGAGCACACTACACCGAAAATCCACCGATACAATGAGCTACCTGCACTTCAGTTCATACCACCCACATCATATTACATCAGGTCTCATCCATAGCCAAGCAATAAGATATAATAGGCTTATATCTGACCCTCACCACCTATCCAGGGAACTCCGCACATTAGCGCGCCAATTGGTCCTTAAAGGGTACCATCTTGACGTCATCAGCAGTAACCTCTCTAAAGCCCTACAACACACACAGAAAGACCTTATCCACAGTAGCATGAAACTCGATGACAAGCACATCTTCCCTAAAGTCACACCTTACAATGAACATAGAATACGAAGCAACAACATCATTCTGCACAACTGGCACCTATCCCTCAGGGATAGGCTTATTCGCACTAAATACATTGCCAATCACTATAACTGAACATACGCTGCTTTTTCCAGGCCGTATTCAGCACGTAAGACATGCCTCTGCCCCACCCGTTTGTTAGGATCTGTTTTTGAACTATTTTACGCAGTATATGCACTACCAATGTTATTCATATGTATTACTTTATTATATAATTGTTTTATTAGTATACATTGACATTATTACTTATTTGAATATTATCAATATGAAATGAATACAGTGGGAGTGAACAGCACATCATTCCACACCAGTACGGGGTCGTAGCTCTTTTGGCTAAGAGTGATGGTTTGTGGCCTATGGTGACTAATGTGTGCATTCGATCAATTGAAATCCATTCTGTAGGTCTTATGCCTGGCTCTGATGGGCTAGTCCATAAGCGCAAGAAGTAAGTGTGTTTAGCTTTCTATTCACCCGATTTGAAAGTGGACGGAAACATAACTAGACCATACCAGACGACCGAACAGAACAGACTAATGCACTACATCATCTCACCTGTATTTACATTTTTTTAGTTTACAATGTTAGTCGCGATACAATAAAATAAACTATTAAAAGTTCTTTACAAATATATATAGATACAAAGCGTGACAACAGTTTAAACTAGGTTTCCAAATATACAAATATACGAAGCGTGATAACATATATATATATATATAAATATATATATATATATATATATATATATATATATATATATATATATATATATATATATATATATATATATATATATATATATATATATATATATATATATATATATATATATATATATATATATATATAAATTAGTAAAAACACTAATTTTTTCTTCAATTGAAAATAACCAAATAAAAAATTTTGGATTCAAAACAAAAAACACCCCACCATTTATTCCCAACCTTAAAAACTTTGAAAACAATTAACTGCACTTAATTAAAACTAAAATAAATTATCGGAATATAAATAACTATTTCCAAAAAGAACTCTAAAGAGATATTTAGAAAATAAAATCAAACCCTAATATTTTAGTTTTTGCTGATAAAACAAGCAACATATATCAAATTACCCCAGATAACCATCATAAATTATTGCACAATAATATTTCTAATAATTATGCAGTTTAGAAAGCCAAAACATTCCTAAAACAATTAATTTAGATGCTCGAATTAAATCAGTTGCACTAGCGCAAGCGTTTCTTACACTAAAAGATTATACACCAAACTTTCATAATAAACTCCCTTATAGGCTACTAGTTCCTTCAAAAGGTGAACTAGGGTATATTAGTAAAATTAAATTAGACAAAATGAATAATATTATTTGGAAAAAATTAAATTTGCAGCAGTGGAAAAATACTACTGATGTTATAAATTGATTTTCTAAAATTAATAATAAAAATGAATGCACGTTTATACAATTTGATATTAATGATTTTTACCCCTTAATTACAGGAGAAATTTTAGATAAAACAATAGAATTTGGAAAAATTCTATTGTTTTATCTACACACTGAAATTACAGACGACACTATTCGTCTAATTAAACATTGGAGAAAAACTTTACACCATTTTAATAAGGTGACGTGGAAGAAAAAACCACGCACGAATGCTATGATGTAACTATAGGAAGTTATGATGGAACAGAAATTTGCGAATTCGCAGGCAAATTTATTCTAAATTCCTTTGCTAAAATTGTTCATTTCAATCAAATAGGCTTGTACCGCGATGATGGTTTGATAATAATGCATAAAAAGTCAGGGTTCCAACTTGACAAAATCAGAAAAAATCTTATTCAATCTTAAAATTTTCCAAAACATTGGCTTCCAAATTGAAATAAATATTTATTTAAAAACTGTGATTTTTCTTGATGTCACATTTAATCT